CAAACTTTTTTCAAGTAATTTTGGATCATTTCTTTTGGTCTATTTATCATGAAATTTTCACATAATGGAAAGGGCAAAAGGCATTTTTTCAAATTACATCAAAAACTGAAAGAGGACACAAGGGTTTTGTTCTGACAGGAGCATTATATAGGCATATTTCTTCAAATGAGAAATCTATATAATAAAATTTGCTCATCTGAAGAAACAAACCTAAGTCTGAAGAATAATTGGCCCAAACCTGGCTTGTCAGGCCGCGGTTGGGTAGCTGACCTCCCTTTCTCACCTCCTAATGGACTCTTAGCAATCTGTAGATAATCAAAAATGCATAATTACAAGAAACTAAATTTTGTGATATGTATGCTTTGATGTAGCAAAGTGAGCTTGATGAGTTTTGTTTTTGTCTCTCATTCTCAATGGAACCAGTCGAACTTTCCATCGGTTGTTGTTCACCTTACCTCTAGGGAATCGCATATTGGCCTACTGTAATTGCCAAGTGTACAATTTAGCTAATAATGTGTTTATAGTTCACTCGCCAACTTAACAGCTTGCACCTCCACTTTATCCAAACATTTGCATTCATGCCAAAGCACATATTCCTATGGGCAAGAATCTGCAGCCTCTTTTCTGGCAACTGAAATGTGTGTAGCAGTTTTTTTTTTTTCCAGCTGTACCTTGAAGATAACATTACTTCAGCAATCTTCTCTGTTTTAAAATCACTCCATATGTTAGAAGATTAATACGCTGTTTTGCCATAGCCACTTTGCTGAGTCAGCATGTAGTTTGGCAAATCCTGGCTTGATATTTATGTACAGTGAAATATCGGTCCAGCTACATTTGGCTAATGTGCCATGGTATATGCAAAAGTCTTCGACGCATTGTATGCCGAGCACTATCAATGTTAATATTTACCAGCAGTCGCTCAAATGACAGACCGAGGAAATGTGCTGCGGAGTCGAGTGTTGGATTCATTGAATTTCCCTGTTTAGTATGCAGTTGTGCTGCACATAATCGTCCACCGTTGTGTCAGTCAACTGCAGCAGAGGCTGCTGACCTCAGCACATGTGGCTCCTCCTGCTAGAGTGGACATGACTTTGAGTGCCACTTAATTTCCAATCTGATTTAATCCTGCATACCGCCAAGCCGATCTCCCATGCTTTTGCTCAGAGACGGAGATGGAGGATGGGGGGAGAGGGAGATAGAGGCGGGAGAGAGAAATGAGAGAGGCCACAGGGGTCACTGAGTGTTTCCCAACCAGAACCAAATCGAAACCTGCCTGTAGTTTTCCCTCCTTCCTTCTTTCTTGGAAAGATAAGAGAGCCAGCGCATGGGTCAGAAAAAGGGTCTGCGTCTGGATGCTCCCTTCAAAGCAGGGCTACAGTAAAAACAGTCATTTTCCTCCCGTCCACTCAGAGACCTCCACAAAGCACTTGCCACTCTGAACTGTGATTCTTTTCATGTCTGGGCTAAAAATAAGAGCATTGCAGCAGGAATATGCTCCTTTCGTAAAAGTCATCATGAAAGAAATGACAGAACTGCTAATCATCACTGAAAATAATTAGTGTTTGTTTCTCCTATGTGTTGATTCAATTATTGATATATTCACAGTTTATCAAAAATACACCAACTGGAAAATTTTAGATTATTACAGCGAGCATCGTTTTGAAAGAAATGAATGTAGGAAATATGCTTTGTGTGTTGTGCATGAATATCATGGTCACACAAGTGGACAATCACTGTTGTTAAAGTGTTCAGGGAAAACAAAAGCTAGTAAGATGATGAATATTTAGCAGCTGTTAAAGCGAACAGGTGTTGCAGAGCTTCTTTTGACACTTGTGTGCACTGTGAAACTGATTATGTGTAATTTGGTGAAGTATAGATGTGTTTAGGTGGGGAGGCAAGTTGAGAAGATTATGGCAATGAGAGGTTTTTCAGCAAGCCAGCTAACAACCTCCCAGACCCTGCAACTTTCCTTTTTGCATCTCTGGGGCTTCTTAGATTGCTCCAATTTAGTCAAATATGAGCCTTTCTGGGAGCTCGGTGATTAGGGTTTGAATTGGGGGCACAGGCTGGGAGACAGTTGTGTCAGGGCTGGGTTATGGCTCAGTGATAGTAGGTCCACCCACAGAACTCCAAATTATAGTACTGTTTCTAGAGTCCTGAAAATCTGTGAGCATGTGTGGCAGACGTTTGAATAGTTGCCAACTGTCTGCCTCACACATAATATTAATACGTTCGCTAGGGGGCAGTGTCAATTTACCAATCCAGAATGTGCAGAAAATGAAGAAGAAGCCTAGAAATGCCAATCATTTAAAAGCACAGGCTATAAAAGCACAGTACCACAATGTAGTACAATGAGAAGGCTAATGAGGCTTACAATAAACATATCACAGACTCTCACAAAGAAACTGTTGAACATGTTGATCAGTATAGCCTTTTAGTGTAACATACCAGGGGGGGAGCACTCCAGGACAAACCACCTGGCAGACCCTGGAGAATGGCCTCAAGAGTCGAGCGATCGAGGGTCAGGAGAAAGATACAAGCTGTGTGAACTGTCTACAGCTCAATCTTCATCAATCTGAAGAACGTTTTCACGAGAACAATTTAAAAAAAGCAAAGACTTGGAACTTAGACGGATACTGAGGTAACTGGCTGAGTCAGAGCAACGTGTATGTGGCGGCATGAGCTCAAGACTAAGCAGTGAGCAGCATGTGAGCCCGCCTTATATAGGGTGCCCACAGCTGCTAACGCTCAGCCCTATTTACTCAGTCCTGGCTCTCTAGCTCCTTCTATCAGCCGGAGGTGGCCTAGCAGTTTGCCTGTATGTTACAATTATACCATCCACGTGCCATGCAAGTCTAATTCTTTTGCTTGCACAAACATCATGCCACTAGAAGCATGCACTAAATACTGCCACAATGGTTTTCATTCACAGAAACACAGGATCACAGAAACTTTGACATTGCATGTAGTGCCACATGGCATCTGATACTGCTGAAAATTGTGCAATGTGAAACTGCAGAGAATGGAAATGTGGAATCACAATACATACACACACTTAAAAATGATGGTCCTTCAAAGGTTCTTTAGTAAAGAAAATGGTTCTATATACAACGATGAACACTCAAAGAACCTTTTGCATGATTACAGGGTTCTTTGCATCGTGAAAGCGTTCTTCAGATTGATGAAGATTGAGCTGTACACAGTTCTATATAGACTATTTATTGAAAAGAGTTTTATATGGTGCCAAAAAGGGTGTTTCTATTGTAACAAGCTTGACATAACAATAGTAAAAACCTTTTTAGTGCTATAATAATCTATATAGAAACATATACGACACATTCTCCATCAGTCTGAAGAACTATTTCATGATGCAAAGAACCCTTTAATCATGCAAAGCGTTCTTTCATTGTTCATGGTTCTATACAGAACAATTTTCTTTACTCATAAACCCTTAAAGAATCATGTTTTTTAGGTGTGTAACATAATTTGCTTCTAGTAAAACAGAAACAGCTTCTCCTTATTCCTGAAAAGAATCGCTAGACCAGTGGTTCCCAAACCAGTCCTCAGGGCCCCCCAGGCGGTCAACATTTTTGTTCCATCTCATAGGGAACACATAGGGGTGAAGGACAATTGTGGACCGCTTCAGGGTGTCCCTGAGGGTTGGGAACTACTGTACCGTACAATACCCAACCCTAGGATCGACAATCTAATAGCCTATCAACTACTGGCTTGTGTGGACTGCAATGGCCAATCAAAGTACTGTGAATTTGCCACCTCAGCCCCCCTTCACGAACATGCCACTGCAGTACACATGTAGTTATTAAATATAGTTTTAATGGAACATTAGACTAAAGCAATTTTGGTGTGACTTCTTCATGATAGAGCTTTAACAAAGAAATATTCTATTTTGATATACTTGATGTATGCATGTACTTGTCCATCGTTCTGCAGTTACACAAGTGTGTGACCACTGATATTTAGGGTTTACCCTCCTTTTTAAGACCACTAATTCCCTGTTTTCACTCATTTAGCAATTGCTTGATTCTCAGAACATGTACTTAAGCTTGTTGAAGATCCTCTGCAAGCCTCTTTATGTTCTGATTACCCATAAACCCCTATGCAAGCATGTTTATGTGCACGTCATAGAAGTATTATCCCAGAACTGACTGAGTTCAGAACAGGTCCTCTGACAGTTTAGTTCTGGGCATTAAGATATCAAAGGTATTGGGGAGACTGTTATTGTACTGTGGAAGAACAGTAGACTAATATTAGAAATTCATAACCATTTGTATGCATGGGTTCACACTTTTGTCTTAAAACAATGTATTTCTAAACTAAAATAAAGCACTCTAAGTTGAAATCTATCCCCTAACCAGGCAACAAAAATGTATCAATTCATTTTACTATCTGAAAGTTTTCAACGCCAGCAAGTTCTCTGATTATGCACCACAAAGGCCAATCTCATTTCACACTAATTTAACCACAATGTCTGCAAAAAGCCCATGGCTTAGCAAACACTATTCCCAGTTCTAGATCAGATTATGAATGCAAAACATTATTGATCTGTTAACTTAAGCTGATGGATGAACTTCATTCCAGAAACAAATTGCAGAGCTACTGCTTTCATACTCCATCAATATGAAGAGCTGCAGTGATTTCAACGATTTTGCAGCTTCTTTTCGAATCTAATTCTGAGATCTTCTGTATAAAAGCTATTTAGCATTATCTTTGGTTTAAAATGACTTCTTCATAAGTAGCCAGCAGCATTTATATGTTTATCTTTCCTTCAGCTTAGCTCTCCATTAGCTCAGATGCCTTCAGAGAACTTTACAAAGCCTTCTTTGTGATGATATAACACGCTGATCAAAAGCAGAGCTTTTAAAAGGCTTGAGTGGGCCCAGTGTCCACTGAGAGCCAAAGTTATTCAAGCTCTCCAAAATACAGAAAGCTTTTCTTTTTCTAATGTACCCACATCCACATAAATGCTGCTTGTCCCTTACCTTTGTAGAAGCACTCTTCACTGTGCATGATGGTGATTCTCTGGTGGGCCAGGCATGAGGCCCTGTGCAGCTCACAGTGGTTCTGGTACAGTTTGCCATCAGAGCCACACACGGGTTTGTAGTGTGGTTTGCAGCGCTCCAGACACTGGCACTGTCCCTGACCCGTCTCATGGTCCACCACACAGTGCTTGCCCAAACCACAGTACTTATGTTCACAGGGGTTTGGAAAGCTGTTGTGGCTCAAAAAGCCTGTCAAAAAAAGAAAAGGAGAATTTCTTATTTGTGGGCATTAACTTTTGGTGTGAAATGTAAACGGAACACAATCTGTGCACTGTGTACATGCATATGGTAGATAACGCGAGATTAAGCAGATCGATCTGGACAGAATTCATTTTACATACAAACATGGGTGCTGACTTGGGTTTTTCAACTAATGCTGTAATACATATATATTTACCCATGATTCCTGCTCTGGCGGACCTTTGATTTGAGGGAAGGACATGAACGTAAGAGCAGGAATCAATCAGGGGTAAATATATGTAAATTATTACTGATTTATTTTGTTTTTGTTTTCATGTATGTTTCTAATTATATTGTATTAATCAAAAATCTGTTCACTGCTCCACTCTTACACTTCATATGGGGAGGAGACCACGTATTGAATTTAGTTGAGCATACCAGTTTACAGCCGAATGGGCAGCCCAAGTTTGCTTAACTGCTTAAATAGCCAGAGCATAAAGTTTTACTATACATTGAAGTCCCTACCGTTGCTGAATAATAAGCCTTAGTATGTAACAAGCCTGGGATTTAAGGGGTTTAAGGGGCGCTACCCTTTACCCCCCATGCACTAGTAGTATCATGTAATTGGGGAGACCTAGCTAGTCGGTGGAACTGGACATGACTAAATTGAGGAAAACAAGCCAAAAAAAGGAAAAAACTTTTTAAGAAATTCTCTCTACATCTAGCAAATGTTCTATCAACTTTTAATAAACTTTAATAAAATTCCATGGGTTATTACATATAAAGGCTTATTATTGTAACTGTAAGGACTTCAGTGCAAACTGGCTGAGCTGTTCTTGGGTTATAGAAATGTGTATTAAAACTTGTTGATTTTTGTGTGAACATGTGCACATACGCCTTTATCCTTTATATTTACAGTGGCCTTAGAAAGATATGACCTTAAGCTGTCTTCTGCCTCTTTTCTTAGAATTAATACATAAGCCAATTCACTGTTACTTTATACTCTATAAAATCAAAGTATCAAACTTTTTTGGTGGCTGTAAAACATTTAGAAAGAATCAGAAAAACCCTACACAGCGCAAAGAACCAGCAAGTGAAATACGCACATGTGGAAGTTTCTTGGATGCCGTAGTGAACATGCATGCTTAGAATCTCTACTTATTTCAGACTGTTTTGTGCAGTTTCGCTAGTTTTATTGAACTTTGCACTAGAATTTGGGATTGTGTCTCCTTTTTTTGGAACAAATAACAGGTTTGAAAGTTTATAAAATGATTTTAATATGCTTGACGTATTCAACTTCACAGGTTTCAAATAACTGGACACTGAACATAAAGAAATAGAAGATTAAAAAATGATAGAGAAGGCTGTGTAGCATTGGGAATTAAGTCATAATAAAGTTAATAACCAGAATTTATCATATGTTAAAAGTGGAAATCTCAAGGCAAGTAACTTGACAAAAAATGAATGTAAATAAATAATTACAATATACTGTTTATCACTTTATTCCATTCTTGTTCATAGACTTCTTGAGATATAAAATAAAATGTAAAACCACTTTTTGAAGAATAGTAATGTCCACATTGTATTATTGTTGCATATAAAATAAAATAAAAATGTTAAAATTGCAAGTGATTCCAAACTTTTGAACACTATTGTACAATCCAGGAGACTTTTCTTGCCATTTTAATTGCACATTATGCTGAAAGCCTGTCAAAAGTTTGAAAATCCTGAACATGACAGACAAGTTCTTCTGCAAAGATTGTACCTTCCTCAGTTCAGAGGGATCAAAGAAGCAATATTCCGAAGGCGTTTGAAGCTTGCACGGATAATGCTTCTGTCCAGTAACCTCTTAGCCATCTCTGTCTGCCTTCAGCCTAGGTGGGTTAGCTCGGCTTTCCAAGGCTAGAAAAGCTATGAGACCACTGAGGTGGAAGCATCAGACCTGATCAGTCGTAAACAGATGTGACAGGCGGGGAAATACACAGGCTCTGAGATCACTGAACCAAGGAGAAAGAAGCAAACAGAGAGCCGCTGAAATAGTGGCCATCTCGACCAAAGATCACAGGCCAGTCAAGGCTGCTGCCCTTCAGAGACATTCAGAAGGACGAGGCTCCGAAACCCAGCCGTCTCACTGACCGTGTTATCCTAGCAAGATGAAGGGCTTTGAAAGCTACTGTCTGTTAGAGTTTTTTAAAGGCAGAGGCCATGCCTCAGAGTCCGGGCTGTTAGTGTTGATGAATCTACCCAGACTTAGACTGTCTCTCTTTCTCGCCAGCTAAACCTCACCATGAACCTTTCAGCACCTGATCATGTTTCTTTTAACAACAGATTCCAGTGTTGTGACTAAAATGCCCTTTAAAATATGTTACTCTTTGGTTAAAATATGTCCCATTGAGGCCTGCGGACCTCTTTTACAATGGAGAAAGAGGAAACACAGTTGAGAATAAAACTACCGAAATTCAACAGAATCTTTTACACCTTCTTTAGCCTCAATTTAGAAATATTGGTTTTTAAATCAATTATATAGAATTCCAAGCACAACAGAAGTGCTTGTCCTCACAGCCGTGTGTAAAGGGTGAGTGCCATATTTTGAGGTTAAAAAAAAAAAAAAAAAACGTTTTTCTGCAATTTTAACTGCAATTATCTTTACATGACTATGAAATATATGAATTATATGACATAAAGAAAACAAATCCCAAATAAATATTGTAAAATATACATTGAAAGTTGTGGTCCTCAGGAGTCGTGTCACAAATCTCTTGTTTTGAAATAAAAATCACACTGATGACATCACTTTACTTCCTTTTACCTATTTTCTGAAGATCTATGAAGAAAAGTCCACTGTGTCTTTTCAGTTATCAGAAATTTTCTCATTTTAGCTCATGATTTCATATGAAGCTTTTAGTTGAAGTCACTGGTGTGACCGACTTTATTTTTTTGGAAATTGTGAAAACATAGAACACAAATGTATTAAATGACATATTTTAGTGGATATTCCATGAATGACAACCTGTGGTTTGATGCTCTGTAGCAGGGACTTTTATTTTTAAATGCATTTTTCATTAAAAATGTCACTGGTGTTACTGTCTCTGGTGATACCTTTCTTATGCGTAACCTTTCTTATATATAAGAGAAAGTGTCGAAAGTGAAATCAAAGTAAGCATACAGTACTGTGCAAACTTCAGAGACCACCCCTCAAATTCCACTCAAAGCAGCCAGTGCAGACCCAGTGCCGAAAAGCTGGGATAGTATGTGAAATGCCAATAAAACAGAAAGTAGTGATTAGTAATTTCTGTGTGACCTGTAATTTAATACAGTACAAAAACACAATATTTGATGTTTTACCATATGAACTTCATTTTTTTTTGCCAATATATGCTCATGCCAAATACAAACCCAATTCCAAAAAAGTTGGGACAGTAGGTAAAATTAAAAAATAACATAAGTTTTAAAACAGAAAGTGATTTATAAATCTACTTCAACCTGTGTCTGATTAAAGACAGTACAAACATTATCTTAGCATCTTAAACAAGTGATCCAATTATGCTTGCATATACACAAAAGAGTTCTTTAGTAAAGAAAATGGTTCCCTGTAGAACCATGAACACACTGCATGAAAATGATTCTATATAGCACCAAGAAGCGTTCTTCTTTTGTTACAGGCTTGACATCATAACAATTGAAGAACCCTTTTAGTAGTATGTAAAACTTACATTCTATAAGGATCATCTACAGAACATTTTCAATCAATCTGAAACCCTTTAATGATGCAATGAACCATTTAATCTTGCAAAGGAATATTTGAGTGTTCATGGTTCTATACTGAACCATTTTCTTTGCTTAAGAACACTTGAAGAGTCATCTTTTATAAGAATGTAAAAAGGATCACTCAGTCCTCTTTGAGCAGGGACAAGTTGAGGCTCACCACATTAAAAAAAATGCACCAGCAAAAAATCCAACAGTTTAAAAATAATAACCCTTAAACAGGGATTCCAAAGATTTTAGGTGTTTCACCGTCTACAGCACATAATACAAATTAGCAGTAAAGTACAAATGTGCACATTTAAGCAATAGAACATGAAACGAAAGTGTGTTATCGCGAAATAACATCACGGCTGTGATTTGGTCACTGTAGATCATCACAGCCGTGATGTTATTCGCGATAACACACGACCTCGAGTGTTCTACTGCTTTTATACAACAGTTAGATAAATAAAGTAAGAAATGAATAAATTGGGCTGTGAACGTGTCATTTAATACATTTTAATGTTAGCTGGTCCTTCCGCCAAATTATAGTTCCTTAACAAGCAGCTTGTTGCTGCGGCAGAGTAACAAGCGCCGCTCACTCGCTGCACATTCTGCTGTAAGCCTCGCCTTTTGAAGTACAGACTGAGCCATAAAACTGCCACAATATCAAGTTTAGCTCAGTTTTGTCATTTTTTGCTAGATCAACATTAACGTTGTTTTGTTCCAGCCAGTCTGTAAAGCATCTTACAGCCCATTTTGTTTGGCGAATGGTACTCAGTTCATTTCTGGATACTTCCAGGTTGTTTAGGTGTTGTTCTGTCAAAGCTGCCGACTGAAAAGCTGCTCAGTGGTGATGACAGTTTGGGAATTTAGTGTCGTCTCATCCACAGAGTCTGACCAAATTGGCTGTTGGTCAAATGTGATCTTAAAAGTGTCCATTTTCTGTTTGTGCGCATAGTAAAAAGTAAAGTAAAAAGTGCGCAAAATAAAAGTGCTCAAATGGCTCAAGCATCTCCTATAGCTGTCAAAGTTGTTGCTTAGCAACGGAGTCTCAGCGGAGTGATACAGTGTTTGTGAAAAAAAACATGATGTTATGGCAAAATAACAGCATGGTTAGAGCGCTTCTTAACCAATCAGCTTGCATGGCCAGAACTAACTGTTGTACATTACCCACTTTATGCTAGTAACAATCTGCAGGGTTGCCTGTTTCTTTGTTCCAGAGAACACACCATACATTATTTCCATACACACTCTAAAGGTTG